CAGCGAGGTGGACCTCATAGAATATGAGTTGCCTGATTGGGGATGTTAATCTGACCCTGGCTGACAGATATAAACAGGTGTGTCAGACATCCTGGTTACTCTGACAGTTGGCTCTGAGGGAGCTGGATCAGTGTCAAGGACTCTCCACGGGTAAATAAAGGGTGACTCGGTGATGGGATACTGGCCTCTGTGGATTTATTTCACATACCTTATTGAAGGCACTACCATCCTCCTAATCAAAGTTACTTTCTAAAGCACACTCTAAGATGTGTCACCCAGTTTCAGTACCTTACTTATTCCCCTAGACTTGTTCTCCCAAAGTGCTGTTTCCTCACCTAAAAACCACCTAAATGCTTGCTCCTTGATCCTGGTTGTTTCTCTCTGTTTACAAATTGAAATCTTGATGAATAATGCATATCATCCATTCAGCTACTAGAAATTTGCTTGGTGGAATATATTTGCGATACTCAACTTCAAAAAAACTGATTAACGTTACAAATTAGTGAGCATGCATTTAAAAAAATTATTAAAATGTGGGTGGAGAACAACAACAAGCCAGAGATAATTAGAAAAATGTTGAAAATATTAATGCCATAAATGAAACGGTAACAACAGCAATTTGATTGCATTCTCAGTGGTCCCTAATCCCAGAACTACCCGAAACTTTCAGATGATTAGATTGTCTCCTAATATCCCCACATTCCAGGATTCCACATTTTGTAGTAATGCCACAAATTCTGCACTGTATCTGGAACATTTCCCAATTATTGTGTTACTGAAGCACCCCATGTACTGTTCCTAGATCCTGATGTATTCCATTGGATATGGTTAGATATTGAGAATCTACACTATTAATATAAGATTCCATAAGACCATGATCACAAATCAGCCTCAGTGCTGATGATTGTCATTGCCCCTAAGTGGCCTTAATGCTGCTCCTCTTCTTCTCAAAACTCTGATTCACTGTGAATATTCTCATGTTAGACCTCCTTGTAATGTAAAATTTTAGACACATCTACTAAGTACAAGACTGACTGTTGTTACAGTTTCATTTATGACATTAATATTTTCAACATTGTTCTAACTATCTCTTGCCCATTGTTTTTCTCCACCCACATTTTAATAATTTTTAAATTTATGCTCACTAATTTGTAAAGTTAATCAGTTTCTTTTTTGAAGTTGAGAGTATCGTAAATCTATTCCACCAAGCAAATTTCTTGTAGCTGATTGGATGATATGCATTATTCATCAGGAGTTCAATTTGTCAGAGCACCATTTTAGCCAGAAAACGAATCAAGTTACATAGAAATTAGCAAGTCTTTCTGCTCACTATTTTTTTAGTTGTGGGGTATTTAATGTCCAAAATAGATTTTTAAACTTTATAAAACATTATATAAAGGACAAATGTTTGTCTTTTGATATCTTTATTAATGGTTTTCATTCAAAGTCAAATCTTGTTTCAACAGGCTGATCTTAGTCTAATCTGACTTCTCAGCCCAGAACAGTTGAAGCAATTTAGCACAACTTCTGCACATGTGCAGGTTGCAAGATTTCATCAGTAAAATGTTATTGGCTTAAGGACTGCTACCTTTGTCCTAGAATCATAGAGGCATGAAAGAAAGAAAGACTTGCATTTATATAGCACCTGCCTTGACCATTAACATTCCAATGTGGTTGAATCCAGTGAAGAATGTTTGAACTGTAGCCACTGCTGTAATGTGGGAAAATGGTAACCAGTTTGTACACAGCATACTCCTACAAAGACCAAAGTGATAATGACCACTTATTCCGCTTTCATCGGCCAGCAAAAAGCTCCTTTGCTGTTCTTCAATATAGCGCCATGGGATCTCATGTCCTACTGAGAGGGCAGACCGTGGCTTAGTTTAACAATTAATCCTCTAACAGTGTTGCACTTGCTAAGTACTGCATTGAGATGTGAGCTTTGATTTTTGTGTTTAAATCCTGGAGTGGGACTTGATCCCTCCACCTTCTGAAGAGCCATCATTTTCTTTAAGTTCTTTGTTGGCATGATCCAAATTAGTCACTCTGCTATACTCATGTAGCTCTTTACTATCTTCTATTTTAGATTTTGATTCACTTTTTCCACTTTATTTTTTCATCGTTTCTGCCTGAACTGCTCCTTATGGTAAAATAATCCATGCTCCAATAATCTCTGAATGAAGTTTCTTCTCACTACTTTCCTCATTCTTATTTACCATTTTAAATTGATGCATACTCAAGTTTGACTCCCCAACTACATGAAATATGTTTTCCTATTCAACCAATTAAAACTTTCCATAATGTCAAAAGCCACATTTAAATACTCCGGGGAAATAGTACGGATATATCAAGGCCATCATTATAATTACTTATCTATGTATCATTCTGCTGAGCCCCTACCCTGTTGTCTGTCACTATACTGTTATCCAAGAATGTTGTACAATACTTGTACTCTGGTAGACGTAGTTCATTACTACCTCCAGTCTTTGGCCAATTTACAAAATGCTGATTCTAATTTTTTACATGTTTTTATTCAATCATGGGATGTGGGTGTCACTAGCTAGGCCAGCACTTATTGCCCATCTCTATTGTGTGCATCAGTCTCTTGGCAATTCAGTTTGCTTTACTTCATTCAGGGGAGCATGGAAAGAGTCATGAATGGTGCTGAACATTGTGCAACCATCAGCAAACGCCCCCACTTCTGACCTTTATAATTGCTTTTACAATTAATATTTTTGTTTTAATTTTGTGGGTTGGAAACTTTGAAAGGCCTACTGGCGAACTCAGTGTTAGATAAATCCTAAATCTGAACACAAGATATTTTAGTGTTAGCAGTCCTTTAACGAGACAAATTACGCAAGCGATATCCCATATGTCAGATGTTCCTGCTCCTTTTAAGTACACAGGAACCACTTATGCTTAGTGAGGTAGATTACACAGCCTCCACAATTGTACATATGAGCTCAACAAATGTGATGCAGGCCAGTCAAGTGGCCTGAAGACAAGACTATGCTTGTGGTTCGCAGGATCACCTCACCTCCCTGCACTTTAATAAGACTAGGGAGGTGGAAAAGACTTGGACAAAAACAAAATCTTCCTCCCATCCCATAGGGACATATGGGTGCTACAGTTATTAATAATCATTAGCAGAGGGCACCCACTTAGCATGTAAACAAGATGTTGTTCCCTGCAAACAACACGGGGATACCATCGTGATACCATTAACTATGAAAAATTTGGATATTTGTTGTATTATTTTATCTTAGATCTGGCACAGAAAACATTATTTTCATTATTTCTGCATTGATTCTAGGTCATAAGCAGTGGAGCATATATTCAAATCTTACTACATGATATTTAATTTGAGAAATGGTGTAGTCTGTTTTAGAAACTGTGGATGTCTTCTATTTCCATAACATTATTTTCAATGTGTTCATGAAATGTGAGCATTGCTGGCAAGGCCACTATTTCCCATCCAACTCCAATTGCTTTGAGATGTTGGTGGTCAGCTGTATCCTTGAACCATTGCTCTTTGCATATTCTAGGCAGACCTAGAGCTTTGCTAGAGAGGGAGCTTCAGGAATTTGAAACAACAACAGTGAAGGAGTGACAATATGTTGGATACAAAGTGACAGAGGAGACCTGCAGGTGACAGTGTCTCCCTAAATTTGTTGAATTCGTTCTTCTGTGTGGTAATTCGGCATTCATTGCTAAAGGAATAAAAGTAGGGAAGTGTTGTTGCGACTGTGCAAGGCAATAGTGACCCAGCACCTGGAGTATTGCGTACAATTTTGTTCACCTTACTTGAGGAGGAATGTAGTTGCTTTGGATGCAGTTCAAAGGAGATTCACTGCATTGATTTCAAAGATGGGGTTTGTCTTATGGAGAGACATTGAGCAGTTTAGTTCTATAATCTCTAGAGTTTAGAAGACTGAGCGGTCTAATTGTGGTACATGAGATGCTAAAGGGGGTTGACAAAATAGACATAGAAAGGGTGTTTCCTCATGTTGGGCAATCTAGAACGAGAGTTCATAGTTTAGGATAAGGAGTTGCAAATTTAAAACAGAAATGAAAAGAAATCACTTCTCTTAAAGGGTTGTGAATCTGTAGAGTTCACTACCCCAAAGTGCGGTGGATGCTGGGACATTGAGTAAATTTAACAGGGAGATAGACAGCCTTTGGATTAATAATAGTTGAAGGGTAATGGAGAGTGAGCAGGAAAGTTGAGTTGAGGCTGAGATTAAATCAGCCATTGTCGAATAAATGGCAGAGCAGGCTTGAGGACTGAATTGCCAACTGCTACTCCCAGTTCTTATGTTTTAAAACCGGGCAATAGGGCTGCTCCCTCATTAGAGAGATGACTGTTAGTGGTTTATTTTAAGAGTCACCACCCCTAAGGTGAGAGGAGAAATTGAGAAGGAGACTCCTCATGGTAATCTCTGCTGGTGCAGGAATTGAAACCATATTGTTTTTGTTACTCTGCATTTGCAAACTAGCCTTCCAGCCAACTCAGCTAACCGACCCATGGGTTGGAAAGCATAATTGCAGGACTTTTAGTCATTTGCTCATTGCATCTTGCAGATGTCACATGCTGCTGCTGCAGTTCACCAACAGTTGAGGGAGTGAATGTTTTAGGTGGTGGTAGAGGTGCTGGTGATGTGGGCTGTTTTTTCCTGGATGGTTTTGAACTCTTGAGTATTGTTGGAACTGAACCCATTGGGGCAAGCAAAGACTACTCGATAATACTCACTTGTGGATATTGGACAAGTTTTGAAAAGTCAATTTAAAATAAAACAAATTGAAATTTTTTTGGAATCTAGTGCGCAAATATAATCATGGTATAATTTATTAGATGAGTATAAGATTATGTAAGTTTAATATATAATATTCTGTATAATCTGGTTTTAATTTAACAATATTTTCTGTAATATCCAGGAGATTTAAAATGCTTTTCATATGGAAATAACACATTTTACTTACAATTGTTTCATTACCCTCAGGAAAACAAGATTATAAGAAAACAAAATCAGTTTTAAGAGCAACAAGATTGAAAGCAGAAGCCAAGAAAACAGCACCAGGAATAAGGGTGTGTGTTGTGGTTTGATAACCTTCATTAAATTTCAGTGGCTCTCAAGTCTCTTTTCCCTCAAGATAAATGCACTGAATATTGATTATTTCTCTGAGATATTATTTGTGACATTTCAAAATCTATGTAAAATGTTAGAAACTAAATATTTATACAGTACAATACTTAATACTAGAAATTATTATAAGCCTTTAATGGTCTGTTTAAAAAAAATCAAATTTCTTTGACTTTATTCTGTGGGATTTTAATTCTAAATATTATAAAAATCTTCAGGTAGTGCCTTGTTCACCTTCTGCGTCTGTTGATTAAACTATTCAATTAGTATTTTTCAGTTTATTGCATAGCACTTACTGATTTTAATTTGAATTCTTAATCCTCACTTTTCATATTCCTGTGTAATTAATATCCAAAAATAAGCTACTATAAATATATGGCTTTGCTCCCATTGTGATTCCAACTTTAATTTAGCATCCTCATGGCTGGATAAATGCATACCTGAACCAAGTATAATTCTGATAAAAGCATGATGCCTTTATATTTCTGAGGATGTTCAATGAAGTGTCACACAAAGTTTTACGCAGGTTAGGGTCTGTGGGATTCAGAGCAATATGTGAGAGTGACCTGAAGATTGGGTAATAGAGAAAAAATGGAGAGTAGGAGAAAGTGGATTTCGGTTGTGATAGCAGCTTGCCATTAATGGCGGATCAATGCTTGGGCCTCAGCAATTTACAATTTATATCAATGATTCTGATGAGGGGATTGAGGGTAAGAAATATTTGTAAGCTGTGAAGAGGGCTCATGAGGCAGTTTTAATCATTTGTTCATGTAAACATGATCAGCATGGACAAGTTTGGGCTGAAGGGCCTGTTTCCATGCTCTATTACTCTATGATTCTATGATATGAATATGGACATTGATAACAGGGACAACATTTAATGATCTTCAGGCTCTGATACACGCTGTCCTAGCTCTCCTAGATAACAGAGGCAAGTTTGGAAGATGCTGTTGAGAATCTTGGAGATTTGCTGTAGTGCATCTTCAAGATTGGAATACTACTTACCACTGGGGCTTTGTGTACGATTCTACTTGAGAAAATCTACTTGAGAACTGAGCCCGAGCTTCTTAACTTGTGCCTTGTACATGTTGGATAGGCATTGGGGTGATAGGAGGTGATTTATATGCCACAGAATTTCAAGCCTCTGACCAGTTCTTGTAGCCACAGCATTTATATGATTGGTCCAAATTAGCTTCTGCTCTAGGGTAACTCCCAGGATTTTAGTAGTGGGGATTCAGTGACGGTGATGCCATTGAATTTCAAGAGACAATAGCTCGTTATTGCTGAAGTTCTTACTTCTTGCTGAAGTTGGACATTGCTAGGCATTTGTGGCATAAATGTTATTTATGACTTGTCAACCCAAGCCTCGTTTTTGTTTAGGTCATAGAGTTATACAGCATGGAAGCAGACCTTTCAGTCCAACTCGTCTGCACCAACCAGGCATCCCAATCTGATCTAGTCCCACTTGTCAGCATTTGGCCCATATCCCTATAAACGCTTCCTATGTATATACCCATCCAGATGCCTTTTACATGTAATTGTACCTGCCTGCAGCACTTTCTCTAGCAGTTCGTTACATATACACACCTGTCTGTGTGTGAAAAAGTTACTCCTCAGGTCCTTCTTATATCTTTCCCTTCTCATCTTAAACCCATGCACTCTGGTTTTGTACTCGTCATTCTAGGAAACTGACCTTGGCTATTCACCCTTTCCATGCACCTGATGATTTTATAAACGGCTATAAGGCCACCCTTCAGCCTCTGACGCTCCAGGGAAAATAGCCTCAGCCTATTCAGCCTCTTCCTGTAGCTCAAATCCTCCAATCCTGGCAACATTCTTGTAAATCCTTTATGTAACCTCTCAAGTTTCATAACACCCTTCCTTTGGAAGAGTGACAAGAATTGGATGTGGTACTCTAAAAGTGGCTTCACATTGTTCTGTAACAATTCCGGTACTCAGTGTTCTGTCAAATAAAGAAAGCATGCCAAACACCTTCTTCACCACCCTGTCTACCTCGAATCCACTTCCAAGGAACTGTGAACCTGCACCCCGGGTCTTTTTGTTCTCAACTCTCCCAAGGGCCCTACCATTAACTGTATAAGACCTACCCTGGTTTGCCTGATCAAAATACAACTCACATTTGTCTAAATTAAACTCCATCTGCCACTCCCCGGTCCACTGGCTGATCTGATCAAGGTCCTGTTGTACTCTGAGATAACCTTCTTCACTGTCCAGTAAAACACCTACTTTGGTCTCATCTGCAAACTGACTAATACCTCTTATATTCACATTCAAATCATTTATATAAATAATGAAAAGCAGTGAATGCAGCACTGATCCTTGTGACAGACCACTGGCCATAGGCCTCTATTCCGAAAAATAGCCCTCTACCACCACCTTCTGTCTCCTACCTTCAAACCAATTTTGTATCTAATTGAGACAACAAGGTGCAGGGCTGGATGAACACAGCAGGCCA